ACGTATTTTTCCGCAGGGATACATGTAAAACCTGCCAAAACCGGCCAGGTCGAGGTGAACCGCCGCCGCAAGCGTCTAAGCCAACGTCGAAGCACGGCGCCGCCGCCGTGTAGGAATGCTAAAATTGGCAGATAAGGGTTTTTGACACCAATTTGGGATTTTTTGAGTATTTTTAGTTGCATGACGAGTATTTTGGATTCCCACAGAAAAATTCAAGAAACTCGGGATCCGTTAAGAGACAGTGTAACGTCTCGAAACACCGATACGGGTAAGGATCCCTCACCCTATTCTCAGTTACGGTAAATTGAGAAATAATAATCGATAATTGTATATTTTGTGAAAAATTAGAAAAACTCTAAAAATATTACTGGTCACTAGTGGAGCTAGAACCGGTTAGTTCACATTTGTCCTGATTCCCTATTTATTTTCCTGTACTGCCTATATTTGCTTACTATTATACTGTGCATAATTGAATTGATGGTTTTCATGGTCTCTTCGGTTATTTAGCTATTTGGTTCTTTTTGTATTGTTTATCAAGTATCCTGATTATTGGTTATTTAGTTATACTAAACTATATCGTTTATTTAAGTGTTATTTGAATTAATCTGTGAATATGAAATGAGATATTTGTATACTTTAGTGGTTGCTTAGATGATAAGAGTCTAAATAAATGAAAGCTTACTAGGCATCCCGTGAAAGGGTGGACGGATCCGATACATAGAGAATCCTACTGTGGACATTATCTCAATCGGACGGGGCTGTGAAGTCCCATACCGGAAGGGTTTTGGGAGATACGGTTCACCTTCGGACGGGATATCGAGGCGATGGTGTTTTTGACGCCCATTACTAGAAGGGGTATGAGGACGGCCGAGTTAATTGTCAATCTAGATACGGGGTTCACGAGTAGAGGGATATCCCTATGGACCCCCAGATGTTCTAGTAAGTAGGTTAAAAAAAATGATTGTTGATCCTATATATGAAATTGAAATGTCATTTGGTTAGTTGTCTTCATAGGTTAATTTTGATAAAAACCGTAACGGTAAGTATCAAATAAAAAGTTTTAAAGTCAAATGTATTTATTTAAAGTAAGGGCTCCATTAGTTATTTTTTTTATTTTTACCAACTTTCGGTTTTCTGTATCAGTTATTAGTATGATATTCTTAACGGGCTAGTGTATCTCACCCTTTCATTAACCATTTCAAATAAAAAAGACCAAGATTTAGATCCTGATCAGCAAGAGACTTGTGAGTAGTCCATCTCCCAGACTCCCTTAAAGTGTTAGTGAAAATTGTTATAAAATACTTATCTATTCGTTTTTCTTTAATTACTGTTTGTTTTTTATCAACAACGTAGAAGGGACATTCCCGTAACCCTATTGGGCAATTCAATTTATTGTGTAAGGAATGTAAACCTTAACATTATCATTCGTTTCTGCATTTAAATTATAAATTCAATTCCTTAAAGATTTCGGCCCTTTACAGTTGGTATTAGAGCTGCGTTCTTCGAAACCATTCCTTACACAGAGACTTACAAACACCAAATACAAACTATCGTTCAATCATTCCTTATGAAATGCATGTACAAAGATATGAGGAGAGTAAGGTCCCCACTAAACTGAGCAGCCCAGGATGGTTCGCTTTGAGAAGATGTTGATCGATTCTTTGAGATGCTAGAGAGACTCATCTCTGCTCAGTAAGTCCGGGAGGAAATGAGGGAGCTGTTTGACCCTCCCCTGCTGCCACAGTTTGAGTCACCCTTGTAGCAGAAAGATCCGAAGCCACTCCAGTACAACTCTGCTTCTCTATCCTATCATCCGACACCGCTACAGTATAATCTGGTGCCTCCACCGCATTATCCAGCACCGCCACAGTACAATCCGGTGCCTCTACTTCATCATCCGGCATCGCCATAGGGCCACCTGGTCCCTCTCCAACACAATCCAGTCTCTCTTCCACGGGACTCAGTTCCACCTATGATGGACCCAGTTTACATTAAAAGGTATAAAAGACTAGATCTATCTACCTTTGTAGGGAGCATCCTCTTTCGAAGAGGCCAAATATTGATTAACTGAGACAGAGAAGGTCTTCGCAAGTCTTGGAGTGGTTCCTGAACAAAAGATTGTACTCGCTACTTACATGCTCGTAAGAGAGGCAGGTCGCTGGTGGCAGGTCACCCTACCCGTTCCAGTCACTTATGAACAATTCCTGATGACATTCAATGCGGAGTACCTCCCAGAGCACCTCCGGTATTTTAAGGAAATAGAGTTTGCACACCTAGTTCACGATAATATGACTGTATCGGAGTATCCCCGAAGGTTATTAAAGTTGGGCTGGTATTCCCCTGAGAATATGATGGATAAAAGTAGAAAGGTAAGGAAGTTCGAGTGGGGCCTCCGTCCCGAGACCAGACAGTAATTATACGTATTTGAGCTTAGCACCTACTCAGTCGTTCTGGCCAAGGCACAGCTAGTGGAGAGGAACCTTCACATCTTTCTTTCGAGTTTGTGTTCTTGACTTCGGGGAGCATTGGGATGATCACCTATATTTGATAGAATTCACCTACAATAACAGCTACCAAACAAGTATAACGGTATGATCTCGTACGAGGCATTGTATGGCTGCCCTTGTAGGTCGCCAATCTATTGGAAAGATGTGGGTGATAAAAAATTGTTCGCCTCAAATCTTGTAAAGAAGACTACAACCAAAATAGTTAAAATCAGGAAAAACATCCAGACAGTTCAGAGTAGGCAGAAGAGTTATGCGGATAACCGGAGAAGAGATTGAATTTAAGAAAGGTGATCGGGTGTTTCTTAAAGTCACCACTTTTAGAGGAACCAGTAGATTTAGTGAGAGGGAAAAATTAAATCCCCGATTCATTGGACCATTTGAAATCTTAGACAGGATTGGTACGACCGCCTACAGACTGACATTACCTCCAGAGCTATCTAAGGTTCATAACGTGTTTCATGTATCCATGCTACGCAAGTACAACCCGGACCTCTCACACATCATGTCCTACGAGCCCCTTTCACTCATGGAGGATCTATTCTATGAGGAAATACTAGCGGGCATTATAAACTGAAAAAACAAAGTACTTCGCAACAGAGAAATTTTTTTCGTCAAAATCCTATGACAGAATCACACACAAAAAGAGGCCACATAGGAACTATAATTAGACTTCAGATCCTAGTATCCTCAACTAAGTGAGAGGGTGACAAATTTGAGAGGCCAATTTTTTTTAAAGAGAGGGAGTTGTAATACCTGAGTTCGGAATTTGAGTAGGAATCAATTTTTGTGTTATAAAATAATTAAAAATATTATTTAATAATTTATTAAATTATTTGAGAAAAATAGGTTAAGAACGTAATTAAAAATAATCTTAAAAAAAATGGGTGAAAATTTGAGTTCGGTAGGTATTTTTGAAAGAAAACTTGTAATAAAAGGTCAAAATGCAAAAAGAAAAAATTCAGCTACGTGGAACCGCCCAGTTAGCAACCTTGACGAAGCAGAACACGCCGCGTGGCAAAAAGCACTGACGTCGACGCCACGCGAGAGGCCATGCGGGCAATCCACATGCCCAGCAATCCGACGGGCTAGATTTGATCCCCCACGCGTGGATGGCTCAGATGCATTCCCTCCTTAGGTGCAATCGGACGGACGAGATCAATCACGATAAATAACTCAGATTCGCCCTCACAATCGGTCCAAACAGGCAACGATCGAACGGCTCTCATCGCTCCATGTCGACGCAAATGGACGGCCCAAATCGACGCGAGATGAGTATATAAACATCGCATCGCAGGGAACCCTAACCCTAGCCGCCCTACCCTCGCTGGAGAAGAAAGACCAGCCGCCGAAGAAAGAGACCGACCATCGGCCACCGCCGCATCAGAGCCACCTTCGACCAAAAAAAAGGTAAAATTCTCCCCTACATGCTCGGAATTCGATTGCGAGTCTCCCCGTGGCCATATCGGAGCAAAAGAGACGACGGGTGAACCGGAAACCGCGAGCAAAGCTCGACGAAGCTGTCGTGACCGAAACCCTAAAATCCCTCCAATGAGCTCTTTTCTGCTTCCCATTTCATAAAATTTTCCGAACATTGTGTTCACCCTCCTTTTTTATGCAAGTTAGCCGAAGAAGAAACTCCAGCCGCGAATGAGAACTGACGGAGCCGCCGCACCCAAAGACCCCCGGCCGGTAGGTTCGATTTTTTATGATTTTCTGCCCAATCGAGACTCCTTAACGTATTTTTCTACAGGGATACGTGTAAAACCGATCAAAACCAACTAGGTCGAGACGAACTGCCGCCGCAGGCGGTGTGTTGAAACCCTAAAATTTGCCGATAAGGGTTTTTGACACCGATTTGAGATTTTTGAGGTATTTTTAGTTGCGTAACGAATGTTTTAGATTTCATAGAAAAAGTTAGAAAACCCAGGAGTTGTTATGAGACAGCGTGGCATCTCGAAACACCAATCCGGATAAGAATCTCTCACTATATTCTCGGTTACGGTAAATAGAGGATTAATAATCGATAATTATGTATTTTATAAAAAATTAGAAAAACCCTAAAAATATTAGAAGTCACTTGTGGAGACGAAACCGATTAGTTCACATTTATTCTGATTCCTTGCCTATTTTTCTGTACTGCCTATATTTACTTACTATTATACTATGCGTAATTGAATTGATGGTTTTTATTGTCTTCTCAGTTATTTGCTTATTTGGTTTTTTTTGCATTGTTTACCCAGTATTCTGGTTATTGGTTATTTGCCTCGTTTAGCATATATTTTAGCATATGTGGCCGTGGCCGAAACCCTAAAACCCCTCAAATGAGCCCCTTCACGATTCCTATTTTACAAAATTTTTCGACTATTGTGTTCACCATCCTTTTTCTATACAGGTTAGCCGAAGAATAAAGCCCAGCCGTGAAGGAGAACCGGCGGAGCGGCCGCACCCAAAGACCCCCTGCCGGTAGGTTCAGGTTTTTGTAATTTTCTAGTCAATCGAGACCCCCTAACATATTTTTCTGCAAGAATACGTATAAAAACAGTCAAAACCAAACAGGTCGAGGCGAACTACCAACGCAGGAGCTGGAGCACAGTGGCACTGCCGTGTCAGAACCCTAAAATTGGCCGATAAGGGTTTTTGACACCTATTTAGGATTTTTAAGATATTTTTAGTTGCGTAACGAGTGTTTTTGATTCCTGTAGGAAAATTGAAGAAACCTGAAACCTGTTACGAGACAGTGCGGCGTCTCGAAACACCGATTCGGATAAAAATCTCTCACTCTATTCTCGGTTACGATAAATTGAGAACTAATAATCGATAATTGTGTATTTTTTGAAAAATTAGAAAAATCCTAAAAATATTGAAATCACTAGTGGAGCCGAAACAGATTAGTTTATATTTGTCCTGATTCCTTATTTATTTTTCTGTACGGCTTATATTTGTTTACTATTATACTATGCGTAAATGAATTGATTGTTTTTATGGTCTCCTCGGTTATTTGGTTATTTGGTTCTTTCTGTATTGTTTATCCGGTATCCTGATTATTGGTTATTTGGTTATGTTAAACTATATCGTTTGTTTGTGTCATTTATATTAATCTGTGAATATGAAATGAGATGTTGGTATATTTTACTAGTTGCTTGGATGATAAAAGTCTAAATAAATGAAAGCTTATTGGGCATCTTGAAAAATGGTGGACGGACTCGGTACATAGGGAACTTTACTGTGGACATTATCTCAGTTAGACGGGACTGAGAAGTCTCATACTAGAAGGGTTTTGAGAGATATGGTTCACCTTCATACCGGATGGGGTATCAAGACGATGGTGTTTTTGGCACCCATTATCGGACAGGGTATGGGAACGGCCGGATTAACTTGATACTGGGTACACGAGTTGAGCGATATCCTTCTAGATCCCCAAGAGTCCCAGTAAGTAGGTTAAAAAGAAAGGATTGTTGATCATATACATGAAATTGAAATGTCATTTGGTTAATTGTTTTCATAGGTTAATTTTGGAAAAAACCGTAACGGTAAGTATCGAATAAAAAGTTTTAAACTTAAATGTATTTATTTAAAGCAAGAATTCCATTAGTTGTTTTCTTATTTTTATCAACTTTCGATTTTCCGTATCAGTGATTAGTGTGATATTCTTAGTAGGTTAGTATAACTCACCCTTTCATTAACCATTTCAGATCAATAAAACTAAAATCTAGATTCCGATCAGCAAGAGACTTATGAATAGTTCACCTCTCGGAGTCCTTTCAAATGCTAGTGAAAATTGTCCTAAAATCTTATTTATTCGTTTTTTTTTTAATTACCGTTTGTCTGAACCACGTAGAAAATGCATTCCTGTACTTCTATTAAGCAATTCAATTTATTGTGTAAAAAATGTAAACTCTAACATTATCATTCGCTTCCGCATTTAAATTATAAATTTAGTTCATTTAAGGTTCTAGTCTTTTACATTGGAAGTAAAATGTTTAACCTCAACATAAGTTCTTGCTAAAGCTCTTATACAGTGTGTGAATTTTGTCAACCCAACGAAGGAAACATTGTTCTGATTTTAAGTTTATAGCTAATTAACAAGTAGAAAAGCAAAAAGAAATACATTGTGAAAAAATAGTGAAAAAAAAAGTAAAAAATTGAAGAGAACATGACATCCATTGCATATAACACCATCCTTTGGAAGATCAAAAAATAGCATAGTGGGGACTATAGAAAAGTATAACTTAGGCAACTCTGGCTGAGATTGTTGGGATTTTTCCAAGGTGAAGAAAATCTAAATTTCCATTGATTTCACTTATTCTAAAATTAACAACTTAAAGTGTCTTTAAATAAATTTATATTAAATTTAAATTTTTAAAAAATAATTTATTACTATATAAGAGATAAATATAAATTAAATTTTTTAAAAAATAAACTTCAACTAATAATATAATCTTTTAAAAATAAATATTTTTTAAATTTAATTAAAGATAAATTTTATTTGAATTTAAACTAATAAATAAAATAATTTATAATTTTTACATTAATCTTCAACAGAGATAATCAAGTCACATACCAGCAAAAGGCATTAATGTGACTCCAAAGGATAAATTTCTTGAGCCATATCTCAATCCCATGACACCATAATCTTCAGATGATATCCTATAATAAGCTTTGTTAAAGTGCATATAGCATTTGTCTCAATGGCTTCTATATGCAGCATTAGTGGTAGCAACATACCTCTTCTTCAATAGCATTGGGAAAATACCAAATGCTCCAAATCCATATTTGGGATAGTAAGCACAAGACCTCATTTGTAAAATGCTAAAGTGACACCAGTCAAGGAATAGTTATGAGAATAGTGGCTCTTGTATTACATACGGCTATAAATAAAAAAGAAAGAGAGAAGAAAGATTAAGGTCATGAAAGAAAATTCCTTACGGATCAGAGTTTGATACGAACAGGTCCATGAAAGTATGAGGATCATCAACATTGCTGCCCATTGAAAAAAAAAAACTTACTTCATTCTTTAATTTTACGATTCCAGTGGTTCATTAAGCTGCACAATAAAAGATAATTGATCCAAGTTAAACACAACACCTTTGCCAGCGAAATAACGCATTTCCTACAACTTCATCCTCTGGTTTATGATCAAGCGGGCCTGAAACCTTACCAGGTTAAGGAAAAAACCTTTTGCCACATAAAAAATTATGAAATAAAGCAAATTAAAAAAGGGGGAAATGTCAACATCGGAAGGCAAAATATTTTAAGGATACTGTTGCCACTAAATCCACGTGAGGATCATCCAGTGGCTTCAACATTATTCGTGTGCTAAAATGCATTGCTTCTTCAAAGTAATCATCAAAAAGACATTTCAGAGCAAGCTTCCCAAATAGCAAATTGTATGATGATTCTAACATCCTGCATTACCTCAACAATCATCAAACATCACAGAAATTTCATGGAGATAGAAGAGCAAACGAAATGTGTTGATTTCAATACATTACATTTCTTAAAACTTACTAGCACACTACATTTAATTAATATATACAACAGGTGTAAAGCTTCATCATAGAGCGATAGCTTAAAGCTCAGATGCAAAGACCAGCAGAATCAGCTATTATTTTAAAAAATGAACTAACCACGCTTAATATAGAAAATTTTAAATAAAGTAAATTCCACCGGCATTGCTAGAGATAAAGTCCTGAATTGGACATTTACACAAGAAGTATCGAAGAAAGAATAAACATACCAAGCAACAAGCCAGATTTTATGCATCTAAAAGCGAAAAAGAAGATAGCAAAAGGAAGAATTGCGATTGTAGGGAACAGAACCTGGTACGAGCAGCTAGAGGAGGGAAATCGAAGAGAGGAGGAACCAGCACCATTGGTGGTGGGGGTTCCTTGTTCATCAAATTCCCCATTGTCAATGTTCTTTGTGATTATTAGGGTTTCTTTTGTTGAGATATGGTATGAAGAATGGAGTTTCTGGAATGAAATCTGCGAAAGGAGAGAGAGAGTGGAAGGAAGTGAAGCGGTGAGGAAGAAGGAAGAAGACAAGGTTAAAGCATCACCGAACGTTCAGATGAATCGCGCGCGCATCTCTCGTTTCATTTCGTACCTCAATGACCTTTTCAAAGCTGGAGCACCAAATTCCAGTGACGTGGCACAGGAAATGCACAACTAATGCTTTTTAAAATAAGCCTGTGCATTAATTTTGTGTATATTTTTGTCCTGTATTTTCAAATTTTATTCAAATAAACTTTTATAATAAACCTGTGAATTAAACTCGTTAAAATTATATAACGTGGTTGTATTTTATGTTGTTACAAATGATTAATATATTTGAAAGTCCATTTAAATAAGTATCTGCACTAATTTTATGTTTGTATTAATTTTATGTTTTTAAATTTTTTTTTTTTCAAATTATTTAAAATATGTTATGATTATATATGTATATATATATAGCATATTATGTAACCACATTTTACGTTGTTATAAAATATTTATCGACCTATAACTCTCGTATAATAGATATTTGATTTATTTTTATTTACACATATTTTTTTTATACTTATAAATTAATTTTTAAATTATTTAAAAAATAAAACTCTTATTTCTTCAAGTGCTAAAATATTGTTTAAATTTTTCCTTCTCCATCTTTTTTCTTAAGTTTCGCGCACCCTATGATTCTCTTAGCTCATCTCACTAGCTCCTTCTTGCTCTCTATCTATCATTGGTGCCGTTAGCTTCTTCAACTTGAATTCTACACATAATTTCTTAGTACTTGTGACATTCTTTATAAACTTATAGCATAAATATATTAAAAAAGAGGTTTCTCTTCCAACATTATTAACAACCTCTTCATCTTTATTGTTATAATATTAAATCTATTATTTATTAGTTGTCTAATTCTATATAGATAATTGATTTATAAGCCATTAACACTTTTTGATTTTATTTTCAGAAAAATATAACAATAAGTTATGTGACAACAGTTCTAGAGAGAAGGAAAGACTTGGGCTTATGATGTTAGCGAGACGTGCAAAAGCAATCGCGGAAGGAGAAGTTTAAGGAAAGAAAAGGGGCTTCAGCTCCTGCAGGTGGGTACTTTTAAAAAAATTTATTTATTAGTTTGTAAATAAAAATAGATGTATATATCAAAATAAAAATAAATGAAATGTTTATTGTAAATAAATACCATATGGACAAACATTTTATAGTAACATAAAACATGATCATATCATCAACCGCGTCTACATTTCAAATTACTATTTATAAAAATAATTTATTTAGAAAAAATTTAAAATTATAAAATTGATAGAGACACAAAATCAGTGTGAGGAGCTTATTTGAAACAAAATTAGATTATACAAGACTTCTAAACCATTAATATTTTATATTTCACATAAAATGTGATCAAATTATGTGTTAGAAAAAAAAAATTCTAATATATAGGCACCCATATGTAATTTAATTTGTATTACTATATTAAAATATAGTTAATTTAATTAGTGGTATAATAAAGTTAATAATTAATTTTAAGATATTAAATTATCATGAATTTAACACGTAAAGACTAAATTGTTATTTATAATTTGACGAGATGTCAAATTAAAAATAATAAAAATATGTGTCTTTTTAAAGAGTTGTGATCTCCAATTTAAAACTATCAAGAAGTTTGTCTTTCTCACTTCAATAGAAAAACTTACACAGACTCTAAAATTGTTTTAAATTTAAAGAATCAAACTCTAACCATAAAAAATAATCAATTCCACAATTGATCAATGTATATTTCTATTAATTTATTTTCTTGAATTAACATGAAAGATAATTTTATGTTCTAAATATTGATTTAAATCTAATAAATTATATCAGAATTATTCCATTGTTGATTCTTTAAAAAATACCGAATTAAATACGAAGATTAAATTTAGGATTAGGGTTCATGTTTTATATACATGGGATAATAATATATATTCCCATATATTTCAAATTGAGAAATTTTGATGCTCAAATTGCATCACGATTTTTTTTTTTTGCAATATCTCAAAGGACTTCTGGATCTGTATTGCACCAATATTAGGGTTGATTAAATAAATAAATAAATAAAAAGAGGCATCACAATATTGCAGCACGCTACGAATTGGGCATGGAGCACGATCACCAACATGTGATTGATATTTTAATTGTTCATGGCCCACTTATTTATATATATATATATATATATAATTGTTGATGTATATATATAATATATATGGTAATAATAATATACTATATATTATGGTAATGTATATAATAATATATTATATATTGTATTTTGATTTAAAGCATAATAGCATGCCTATGATGCTTTTAGTATTGCTGCAGATTTAAGAATAATTTAGATATTATGTGTTGTATGTAAAATGTCATGTACATATATAATATCCATTTTGTAAAAAAATTTAAAGTTTTATTATAATGAAAATTCTTTCTTAATAATCTATGTTGCTAACTGTTTAAACTTATATTTTTTAAATGTTGTTTTTCTCTTTTCTTATTTCTATTGTTTTTCTTTTTCTTGATTTTTGATCATGGGATTTTTGGAAAAATTCCCACACATAGGCATGCATATTTTTCTCTGTTTTTCCTCTTCCACGGGCATCCCACTCACTTGCCCAAAGTGAGGTGCCCGTTTGTTCAGGAAGATAGTGGCATGCACAGACCAGGTGTCCTTCTAGCTTGTTTTGCTTAAAACGGTCGATCATTCTCCTTCATCACACAGTTGAGATCACATGGTTGTGATCCGATGGTGGCCATGAAGACAAAAACTCATCATTGGGTTCTGCAATCGACTCTTTTCTATTCCTTTATAAGGAAGAAAGGAAACTGAGAAGCAGTGGACATTTCGACGAGCAGAAGAAAAACTGAATGTGAGAGAGAGTGCAAAAGTGAAAACAGGGGGTGAATCGAGAGGAAGGGAGTGAAAGGCTGTGAGGATGCAGAGGTGTGCAAACCTATCCTTCTTAGAGGTAAGCCATTTATGGTGATTTTCTAATGATGTTTAGGTTCCTCTTAAGCTATTCACTTATCCCCAGCTCTTTTTCCAAAACAAAATCAAACTGAGCTCAACTTGGCTATGTTCCTGTTGCACCTTCAGACAGTGCAGGTATGTTAGCCTTCCTTTCCTTTTTTTTTAATTTTAATTCTTAATTTCATTCTGTTTTTAAGGTTCATTTAGGTTCTTAGAAGGATCTTGCTTCATTTAATCCAACTTCACTGACAAATCTACTTCTAAAAATTACTAGTTTGATAAAAATAAACCATAACCCACTGTTGATAATGCAGGAAACCCGTTTATGTTTTTTGGTCATCTAGAGTTAATTTGCTCATATGTATAGGTTGTTTTTGAATTCATTAGGAAGGTAAGACCTATAGTAATATATTTAATGCATGCAATTGTGTTTTATAGACCGCATGATGAATAAATTTAGTTTTTAAATCTGATCTCTACTGCAGTTTTAGGATTGAGTGAATGTGTGTGTGTCATGTGTCCATTTGGTTTTAAATTTATAAATTAAATGGATTTCTGTGTATACTTGCATTTGATGAACTATTTATTTATTGAAGGATGGTAAGATGGAAAAAAAATAAAGATGAACAGAGAAGGTATGTGTTTAGAAAAAAAATATAATAAAAATATTCCTCCTTATAAGTTAGTTTTCTACAAAGCCAAAATTAGAAGGAAAAAAAATTTAAATAAATTAAATCTAAAAAAATGAACGATATATACCTATTTAAAAATATTTTTAAAAAATTAAGAAAAATAGAATAAAGTAAATAAAAATAAGAAAATTATCAAAACTAAATAAAAAATTAAAAAATAATAAAAATAAATTATCAAATTGAAATAAAATAAATAAAATTCTTGAAAAATAATTTAATTAAGGAAATTACGAATAAAAGATGGAGTCTAGATGATTAATTTACAAAGAATAAAAAATAATAATAATAAATCTAACGAAGGTGTCTAGTTAATATGTCTATCAGGTACATAGAAGGGGTACTATCAGAATTATTGTTATGACTATTATGACTTTACTGATAGAAACTCTACTCTTAGACAGGGTGGATACCGAACAGTTTACTATTTACTGTTTACTTACATAACTATCATCCCCTTTCTTAGAGATAGTGGTGTCCTCACTGCCACCTTGGTACCGGTTTACGCGTCTGTATGCAGTAGGGTTATAATAATTAAAATAATAAAATTTTACAATAAAACTTCAAATATAAGTTAAAACTTATGTGGGTGTGTGTAATACTCCGACTTTTTGACAATTAATGGATTTCAAGACTACGATATTTTAGGCCTTTAGCCATGTGAAATTTTCATCAAAATTACGAATCATTTTCATTTTCCAAAATTTTTATCTGAATTAACCAATTTTAGGAGAAAAACAATAAGGAAATACACAACTTCAGAAAACACAACCCATAGCCCACGGACCATGACCCCTAGCCTGCGAGCCGCAACTTGCAAGCCATAGCTCGCGACCATAGACAGCCCACGTGAGCAAGCTCGCATGCATAGTACGCAACAAGGCTGTGCATAGTGCGCGGTGTGGCCACCTACGCTCGTGCGCAGTGCTGCAACGCACTGTCACCGACGAGATAGCCTTGTCTCACCGGTCAATGGCCACACTTAACCTTTCTTTTCTTCTATTGGCCATGCTTGGTGGGCCCCAAGTCCACCCCTTCACTCCATTTCGCCGATTTCTACCAAGTGGCGCAAATCTGATTTTTTTTTTCTATTTAAACCTTTTCCTCTCCATTTCCTCCACACTATATTCTTTATTTATTTTTTAAAATTTAGAGAAATAAGAGAGACTTTTAGAGAGAAACAGAGAGAGAGAGAGAGAGAAGCGACTTTTAGAGAGAGCAAAGAGCAAAAAAGAAAGAAAGAGTTTGGAGTTTCACAAACTCGTTCAAAGGATTTCTAGAAGCTTTTCTTTCGCTACCAAAAGGCTAAGTCAACTTGGTCACAGTTAAGAGTTCCTTAATATTTATTTCTATGCCTTTTAGTGTTATTTTTAGATAAACAAAATAATGATAACGTAAGATAGTTATGAATGCTTGCTTGGTGACATATTTGGATTTATGTTGGTAAATTAT